GAATCCATCGACCCGCCTGGGGATCGAACCCGGGAGCTCATGGGCGGAACGCAAGCGTGCTACCCACTACGCCAAATACTTCATTGCTCACATGAAATAATCAGTCAGTTTGTGAATGTTTTCAACCGAGTCATAACCCTGGAGGCTAGGACTGAGTTGATCAGGGTGCGTGGCCCGTATCAGGCTCGCAAAGATGGGTTGTGCTAAATCGTGTAAATGGAAAATGAAGTTCCGGGTTCAATCCCCAGGCGGGTCGATGGATTCGCACTACTAATGTGACCCAACCAGATCGACACAGCTGTCCATCGCTTCCGGGCTTTTCAGTTCACGCTTCATTTGCTATATACACGACGAATTCACCCCTGAAATTCAACGAAATCCTCCATTACTCACATGAAATAGAATATTTTATAAATGCGAGTTTTACTTTCCATTCATGGAAAGATGCCAACTCTATACGGTCAACCACTATCTGATTTGAATTGAGGATACATACTTACCTATAGTAATTTAATCATGACCAAAAGTAAGATTACTAAAACTTCAGAAATAGGAGAGTGAATGGGTGGTTCCCCTAAATAAATGAAACAACTAGCTCAATAAATTTGACTATCTTCGTTTTCTCCACAACCCAGACGGACGTCAATTATTGGCCAGGAAGATCCCCTCCCCCGCGCACACAGCTCACAGAAGCGGGATGTTGTTATTGTATCAAATCAGTGAAACCCTTAATTAGCGCTTTCACAGTATTCATTTGTCTTCAGTTATAAAGAATCGTGATTTCCTGGTGGGTTGCTTGTAGAATTGCGGTCCGTGGTGTCTCCACTGAATGGTGGAAGATTGCAACCAGGACCATTGAACTCATTGTAATCTATCCGATGTTATGGTTTAGGTTGTGGGATTTAAACCGAGATCATTTGGCCTGAATTTGGAAATCCTTGCTTTTACTCTCTCTCTCTCTCTCTCCAGGATCATTTGTGATTGTGATGCAAACTTTGACAGTGTGTGGATCTGGAGCGATTTGAAAAATACAATAAATATAGCACTAGCAAATAAGGCCAACATTGGGATTGATCCGCGGCCCAATTGCATCAAACTTTATATAACAACCTTTTGCAAAACGTCGAAAAGTAGTTTTGTATTGGTGGCACCTTTTGGTACCCAGATGCTTTTGGGAAGCGAAATGCTCTGACGAACTGTTTTTTTTTGGAGTGCGGCATGGAATGGGTTGCTAAAGAGGGTTTGTGATGGCTTCCTTTGCAGGCTCGAAGGAGTTTTATATCGCACACAAATTGGTGCCTCGAGAATCAAATAGACCCGACCAAAGGCTCCTGTATGACTTCAAAAGGTGTGAAACACTTGAACCAGTAAAATATTCTTTTCCCTTTATCCATTTCACCACCTTGTTCAATTGACTCATTTCAACTCTTATGTTTTTTCGTTTTACATGATCATATAAATGTGCGTTTACAGCTGAATGAGAGCACGCTAAATAGATGGCCAATATCAATTGGATGGGTAAATTCGAATGTGAAAAAGATCAGTACTATTCGTGTGACCTCGTAGCTCAGCTGGTAGAGCATGCGCGTACAAATCGTAGGCGGTGTCCATGCGTGGGTTCGAATCCCACCGGGGCTACTGAACTTTTCACAATCGACATACAAACTTCAAATCTGCCGAACATCTATTTGAACAATATCAATTCTGTCCATATATGTCTTCTTGTATTGATGAAATTGAAACAAGAGTCAGCTTTGTCATTTCACCATTCAACCAAACCAGTAGGAGCGCACGGATCAGTACAGATTGATCCATGCCTAATCGTCCGACCAACACACATGGCCCTACCGAAAGAGTATGAGCGAAAACAAGCAATGGTAGACATGAAGCGAAAATTTGATAAGAGACTTTCTTGTGAATGTTTCGTTCCATAGCCTTAGTTGGTTACTCCATTAGAAATGGCGTCAACAAGATGTGTGCCCGTTGACTTTCTGCAGTGTATGAATGGGATTTTGAAGCCGTACATATTCCCAAACGCAGTCACATCATATTAAGTTATGCTAATCCGATCTGGAATTGGAATTTGGGATTCTGTTATATCAGATAATTGCCAAACTGACATTATTTGATGAACAAATACACATTATACCAACAAAAAATTTTTATTGAATCAGATTTGTACGTTTCTTCATTCGTTTTTGGACTTATGGTTTCAAAGGATACTACGTACCCATTCGTCTATCAGTTCCCATTGATCTGGACGATCAATCACATGACAGCTTTTCATGACAGCCACTGACTAAGACTCATCCAATCCGCTTTTGTCCATGCGCCAGCTTGACCTAATTGTCGGTCATCGTTTAATCGATCGATGTACTCTCACGATCATCCATTAAATCGTTAACCCGATTCCGGGCCGCGCGCCGTCTGTGTGTTCTGATTTTCTGTGTTGGGTTACGGGCCCTAAATTACGATGCATAGCGTGGCGGTTGAAATTCAGCCCTAACAAAGGTGAAATTCGTCTTGCATATTGCAAATAAAGCGTGAACTGAAAAGCTAGGAAGGGCTGGACAACTGTTTCGGTCTGGTTGGGTCTCATCAGCAATGAGCAAATCCATCGACCCAACTAGAGATCAAGCCCTGGACCTCACAGGTAGGACGCAAACATGCTATCCACTCGGCCACCGAGCAACTGATCAAACCGTTTTTTTCATTTTCCATTTACACTCATGGTTTCATCTTATGGTCTATCTGCTTGCTCATTAGCTTGTTTATTTTTCTCCCCTCTAGGCACAACCACTGGATCATGTCCCCTGACCTATCCACCACTGAATTTGGGAACCGGTTCGCTGAATCAACTCGCGGATACAATCCTATTGCATCTCCTTGTCCCCGAATCGACCATTGAGATAGCCGATCCAATCAAACTCACCGATGGCGTGGTTGCATCAGATATCAAAATCTATCAGTTAGACACTATTCACCGGACTTGTGCAATCGAGTTACAAACAAGTGATTCTCTGGGTTGTAGCGAACGTGGTCTGCTGTTGAAAGCGTGTTTGGGGGCGAGACAAATTCGAGCGAACCTCTCCCTCACCACGCCCTATGCCGGACTCAAAGAAGGAGTGAGTTCTTCAGATATACCAAGAATTGTTAGCAGTGCAGACTAAGCAACTGAACCCAAAATTAAACCAAGTAGCTTAATTGTAGTCCGTTAACTGAAGCTATTAGTATATCTACTGTCTTGTATTTTGAAGCGGATAATGATACAAACGTATCCCATATGCAAGATCTCGTGATCGAATCCTGGATTGAGTGGTAGACTAACCTTAGTGATGGGATCTGATAAGAGTTATGGTTATGCTACATTGGTTCATCTCCAAGAAGCCCACAGTTTCGACTGCTTTTTATCATCATGCACGTAAGCAAAGCACCTTTTAGGATTATGCTTAACATGCTGTGCCAAGTGTCTTCTGTAAGTATATTTTTTCTCGTGTTGTAGAGCCTGTACCTTATGTTATGTCTTCTTTCGGCTCCATTTGTGGCGTGTTCTATATATCCTGACAGAAGAGGTTGCATATTTCGATTGCATGAGCTCAGAAATGTGCCTGAAGAGAAAAACGTGAAATTAGTCGTCAAAATCAACGAACACCCAACTCACTAGTCGGAATTGAAGTTGATATTATTATTTTCTGAACTTCGTCTTCAGTCATTCACACAGTTATGTGTATGTTTCTATCTAATGTAGAAATAAATGCGATTGGTTTTATTGAGGTTACCAGTGAAAATGCCACAATGTCCGTCAAGTTTAATCAGAGCTAGTGGGGAAAATGGGAGCAATGGGCGAAGGGGGCCTAGGTCACTATTCTGGAAATTTTCGATGACCTTTTTCACGTGCAATTTGTCACGCCATGTTACATCATCACGACGTGACTGAGATCATGGTTCGGTTTGGTTGGGGCCAATGCAACTGGAGTGCTTCTGTCGTTGCCAAGTGACGTTTCCGAACATACTTCGATTTGTTTTGGGGCTCTTTGTACATGACATTGAATGCATTGTTGTCACATTTATTT